GGGTTGGGGGCTCGGAAATAAAGGGGAACAGAGGGAGATAGTAACTGTACTTTGTGGCAATCGGAATTGCTCGGGTGTGACAGAAGAGGAAGTCAAGATAAAACCTGGAGGCGGTTAAGGGTGAGCAAATCAGCTGGAGTGGAGTCCTGGGTGGACTCGGTGGTGGTGGGGGGTGAGGAACTGGCAGTGACTCGCTATGAACGCCAGCGTTAACGTTGAGAGGAATTCCTGGCGGTTACCTCCTGATGAGACCGTCCAGGTGGCTGATCCTCGATCGAAAGATGAAGTTAAAGATGTGAGTTTAATTTGCATAACGAGAGAGTGGGGTAAATCATTTAAAATTTGAATAATTATTTTCTCATATGTATATATAATTAAATAATTTTATTTAAGTATTATGATTGTGCCGATGTCTGGATTCGAATGACTCGTCTGTCTTTTTAAAGCCTGAAGAGGTCTCTTGAAAATGTTTAAAAAATATTTTTTCCATGGAATAAATAATTTGTTTGAGTAGAAAAGAATTGAAAGTCAATTTTTCATCTTTCAATGACTAATAATTTTTTTATGGCATAAAATGATGAGACGAGGTTGATCAAGTGGGAAAAGTAAATGAGGTCATTGAGGCTTCTGATGGGTTTTTTTAAAGAGAATTCTCACCGAATAATTGTTTTAATAAGGTGCTGGCGCATGGCACCCCACGAATATTAATGCCAAAGTGTTTTTATTGTCTGTGTTCACTGGTTTTAACGAGATTCCTCTCCCATTGGTTTTAGGATCTCTATGGTGACGGTGGTCACAACTGGAGAAGTATTATATTTTCACTTCTCGTAATTGGATTTGTCATTGCTGGCATAGTTACCGCAATTTACCTTCTCGGGTGAGTGTTATTATTATTTTCATTTCGCATCTAGTTTAAATCCTCGGGGAGATGGACGTTTAATGAAATTACCAATTTTATGAGTCGAATGCTTGGAAAACAAAGGGGCCGAGTGAGATTATTATCTTATTAATATGAGACAAAAGGAATTTTCATCCAAATCCAATAGTTTCCGAGATATTTGCAAAATATAATGTAGAAATGCTCGACCCAAATAAAAATGATTTTGTCTAGAAGCGAATGTCAAGAGACTTTTGAGGATTTTGTAGAGTGTTGAAAAGATATCTCTTGACAAAATAATCATCTAATTAAAAGCTAACAAGGATTATGAATAATTCAAATGAACCAAAGAGCCACTCCACTTTTAACTAATTCAACGAGTTCAATGGACAAAATTAATTCAGGTATGTCGACGAGCTTTTGTACTGGAGCGGTAGACGTCTCACACTTGAAGAGTGCCTTCGAGATGACCTTTCACCACAGCGGTTGCCACCCGCCTGGGTATCTCATGATAAATTCGTTTATCAAGCGGATGATGGCTCATTAGCCCTCCTTGATACACTCAACAACTCCGTGGCACTATTAGTATCAAATCATACCCTTGTAAGTACCAACAAATAACTTGATAATTTGCCGATCTATTTATGTACAACAGCTACAAAAGAGCTGAAAAAAAAATGGCAATAGCTTGATCGATTGGCATTTATTATTTATCCAGACGTGTCTGGAGGTGCTCATCAATCCTTGAATCATCAAATCTGATTATTTTCAGAGACAGTTGAACGTTCAAGGCTACCAGTGTAGCACTAATCTTCGTTACGTACTATTCAAACACGATGTCAAGCCAGTGAGTATTTATCATACTGTTGGGGATACCTACTGATATAATGGTTTATTGCACGTGTAAATTGATCTTACCAATTGCAATACACCTGCGCAAGCGCTATCATGTGTTACATTGTAAGGAATTGAGGCGATTTAGGGCATCTTTAAAGCTCCAGACCCCATCCGTATTGAGAAAAATTTTCTCCGATGGCCAACTTTTTTTTTTTCTTTTATTCAACACTTAAATTGAAGAGATCGATTGATGTGATCAATTCTGTTTAAATATTTTTTACCATTTTTCTAGGTATTTCGAAACACTTTCACCGCTCTTTACACAGTCTACGATGTCACGAATGAGTATGTGTTTTCTTTGAGGAAAATTTGATTGCATAATTGCATAATAAAAGAGATTCATCTCAGACGATGAATTGATGATAATTTTTATCCCCCCAGTCATCACACACCCCTTCGTCTCCACGCATCCCCGCGAGTACAACAGACACGACTGCAGTATGTCGCCTGGTTGGGCAATACAACAGCATTACTGATGATATCTGATAACAATATATTCTTAAGAATGTCGCCAACGGCGCCAGTAGACAAGAGACTGACTGACACTGGAGTGCCTGGAATTATTTACAACGGTGTACCAGACTGGTTATATCAGGAGGAAGTACTACCAAAAGCTGAAGCATTGTGGCCAAGTCCCGATGGACAGCGTCTTTTATATGCCACATTTAATGATACCAAAGTGAGAAGAATTATTTATTTTTATTCTGCAGAAACTCCCTCAACCACTGAAATTGCGCTAATAATGAGAAATTCATTGTATCATTGTATCATTGTATAGGTAACGACTCTACAATTTCCCTGGTTTGGTAATCCAACGAGCTCGGACGCCGCCAGTTCGAATCCGTCTGGCATACCGCACAGAATCACCTTTCCACCCTCCAAGTCAGTGCGTTATCCTACTCCAGGCTCATCAAATCCCGAGGTCACTCTGTGGCTAGTGGATCTCAATAATTCCACCGACAACACTAATGAATCATTAATATCGGAATTTTCACGTGCCGCTGTTAAACCACCGGCTGTATTCGATGGCCAGTAAGTTTCAGCACGAAAATTCCATCAGTTTATTATTATTATTCGCGTTGTTCCAATATGAATTTTTTAAATAACCGATGGGATGAAATTATCTCTTGAATTCTTGCAGTAATAATTGATGCGTTAAAAAATTCATTAAACTAATTAAAATTGATAAAATTATTATCTGCAGGGATTTTTATTTAATTTCGGCTGGATGGATGGACGATGATGGGACGCAAATTGGGGTTGTGTGGATGACAAGATCGCAGAATCTCACTGTAGTATCGGCCTGTCGTATGCCAAAATGGGAGTGTGAGGAGATTCACTCGGAGCGTGCACCCGAGGGCCAATGGCTCGATGCTCAGCCGCATCCCCTGTTCTCACCTGACGGTGACAGTTTTCTCCTGCTCGCTGGGGTGCAGGAGGGTGGCCAGGAGCACTTTACCCATATCAAACACGTTACACTCACCCAGCAACGAATTGCTGTACTGTCACATGGTCGATACGAGGTAATTCATTATAACATTTACGGAATTAATTGTAATGCTGAAGTATTAGCTATTATCGAATTAATACTTTGGGGATGTGACGTACTATCGTGTCTCGTAAAATAAACACGAAAATCGTAAAAGTTTGAGAGGCTGACAAGTGATGCCATTCGTTGCATCGTATGATTTTTTAACGGACTTTTAGGTCAGTGAAATACTCGCATGGGACACCAGAGCACACTTGGTTTATTACCTCGGTACCAGAGAACGTAATCCAGGACAGAAGCATTTGTACGTGGTGCGGGATCCAACGACTGACGACCCCCGACGATTGGAGCCACTCTGCATCACTTGTGATTTGGGGGATGTTCTTTGGAGCAGTAGGTACGTGACCAAAGATTTTTCCATCAAAGTGGTCAAAGTGGTCGATTGAAAAATAAAAAAAATTATTCCACCCTCTGCAATGGTTTCAGGGAAATTGTTTTCCTTCAGAGGGTAATTGCAATCAATGTTTTTCTTTAGATTCTACTACACGAATTGCACGAGTTTCGGTGCCTCTGTGAGTGTTTCGAGTGAGACAAGACAGGGGTATTATGTACTGCATTGTGAGGGGCCTGGGCTTCCGCTCGCTGGAGTGCACTCGGTGACGACTCACAAAATGGTACGGGTGCTTTACGACACGAGAGTACAACGTGCCGAAAGACTGTCACAGCTCGCATTGCCGAAGAGAAAAAGTTTCGAGGTAGTTTTTTTTTTTTAATTAAAAATTCTCCGAAAATCAGTGTAAGAAAGTCGCGTGCTGTAAAATTAAGTTGACTTTTATTTCCACTCAACTCTGCGCTCAATTGCCCTCTAATTGAGAAAAGGTTTAATTAAGGAGTGAATAAATTAATTACAGGTGCCACTGCCACAGGGCTGGCGTGCCCAAGTGCAGCTGCAATTACCACCCTCGTGGCGTGAAGAACTCAGGGATGCTGCATTTCCAGTTCTTGTTGAAGTTAATGGTCGGCCAGGTAGTGAGGCAGTTAGTGACAAATTTTGTATTGACTGGGGCACATACATGTCAAGTCACAATGACGTTGTTTACGTTAGGCTCGATGTGAGGGGTGCACGGGGACAGGGCAAACGTGCACTGTTTCACAGAATTGGGGGGGTTGAAGTGCAAGATCAATTGACTGTACTCAGATATTTACTTGATGAATTCAAGTATCTCGATGAGACTAGGGTGGGAGTGTGGGGCTGGGGGTATGGGGGCTATGTCACTGCCATGCTACTCGGCAGCCAGCAGAATATATTCAAGTGCGGAATTTCGGTGAATCCAATCGCCGATTGGTTGTATTACAGTGAGTTGACATTTTTTTTTTATTCATTTCAATTGTCTACTATAAAAAATCAAAAATTCCAGCAGCTTATTATTGAAAAAAAAAAAAAAAAAAAAATGAAACATTTTTCTCATTTATAATTGTTAATTAATTTTGTTTAGATTCAGCCTTCACGGAACGAATTTTAGGGGCACCAGTAGAAAATTTCAAGGGTTACGTCGAGGCAGATTTGACTCAACGCGCCAGATTGGTACCGAGTCACAGTCTCTACCTTATTCACGGCCTAGCTGACCTGACAGCGCCTTATACACACGGCATAGCCCTCTCGAAAGCTCTGTCTGATGCTGGTATTATCTTTAGGTATCAGGTGAGTTGACAGTTTAAATCCCCTTGATGGAATAAATCGACAAAAAAATTGTTACCATGTTTAGAGTTACGCGGATGAAGATCACGCCCTGACAGGCGTGATTGAGCACGCTTATCGTTCCATGGAGGACTTCTTTACTGAGTGCCTCACCCTGGATGCCTCCTAGTGCCTCAAGACGATTTCTCCTTCGTCAAACATACCGACTCTTCTGCTTGTAATTGATAAAATTTGAGCTATTGATTCGGGGATTCGTATTCTTTTTTTATCGAGTTTATTTCATTAATGAAATTCATCAATTTCTCTGTTTTTGGTGATTGTTGGATTATTTCAGTGAAGAATGAGAAATCTCATCCTCTGAAATTACTCATTATCGAGATAATTTAACGTTTAATGAGTATTAATCTAGTAATTGGCTTATCCTCATTCGAGTTATGAAAAAAAGATAATGAATGAATAGAATGATTGTAAAACACGAGCCTAACAATACTCGAAATATTATGTATGTAATTCTTCAAATATCGAGCAATACTCGAAATATGCACTGAGAAAAGAAAATTATCTCGTTGGTTTTTCTTCCGATTGGATGATTTTTTTTCTCAGTGTGAATATAGATTGCTCAATCGACTGATTTAATTATTATAATTACGCGAAAGTGAACAAAAAAAGTGAAAAATCAAGAAAATTAAGAGCAGTGTAAGAATAAAATAATGCTACTCAGCGCAGTGACGATAATTAATAAGTTTTACACGACGGTAGAAGATGAAAAAGTATAAAATCTAAAAATGTTGAAAAAAAAAAATATTCAGAGTATCGAAGTATGGAGAAAGATGAGAAAAATCATTGGGGAAAAAATCCATCGCGTTATTAGCAATATCTTTATAAATTACGTGAAATGTATTATATTACAGTATATTATTAATTAATTCGAGGTAAGATGTTAACAAGTTAATTGGCCTATTTAGTGAAAAAGTGAAAATAATTGATATATGAGTGTGTTTAAAGGCGTGCTTAGGTATTATAGAAATACTAAAAAATTGACGTCGATGCGATAATTAAGGACACGTGCACACAATTCCCTGAAAATATTTGTGAGGATTATCGATATCATAAAAATTCGGTCTTATCGTTAAAAGAGAGGAGGGGGGTAATTAATGAATTTATGTGATTGTAAAAATAAAAATCAAAGGTCACTTTCCCATAAAACTTCCAATCAAATCCCGTCCCCAGCGTTTGAATAAAAAATACAAATATGAAGACACCGTAATTATTAATGTTGTATAGCTTGTGGCGCCTAGTTGTTTGTAAAAACTCGTCGGTAGAATCATGAAGAAGACGATTAATGAGTGAGGACAACTGGTTGATTGATTCTGCACTCAAGAAAACATTGTAGACGAATTTTCTCCATTTATTTTATTACTTATTATTGTGAATATATAATTATGAAATTCCATTGAGTCATTTGATGGATTAGAGAATTGTTGATTACTTCAGTGCAGAATTGAAATTGTGTACATAAATTAATTTGGAAATCTTCGCCGGAAGGATATTTCGTTAAAATAAATCACCAAGTCAAAATTATTATAAATAAATGATGATGAAAACGAGCTTCGAGGCTGATACTTGCGTAACTCTACATTTTTTTTATATTAAAAGTGATGAGTGAGTAGAAAATTCCAGCAGCTCGCGCATTTATTATAAATAAAAAAAATGAATGAATGCAGAAATGATGAATAAATGGCTGTTTTTTGAAAGTGGCCGTTACTAGATGATATTTTTATAAATTCGGGACTCCTCGATTATTCTTATGAGAAACTCGTAAACTTCCATGTTATTAGTAACATGCAATGTTGATCTCTTTTTACATAACTAAATCCAGTATTGAGGGGAGTGAAACACAATGAAAGCAAGTTAATATTTTATTGTTGAATATTTTTAATTCGTCCATTTGAATTTGCACTTGTTCTCCATTTTATATTCAAAAAAGAAAAGAGTACTTGTACGAGTACGAGTTATTGATGAGGATGATGATGATGATGATGATTATTGATACTTGTATTTAAGAGTCGCCCTATTTATTATAAAAAATGAAAAGGAAAAGAATTGTTACATGGTATATATTGATAATTTATTCGAGGAAAATTTAGTCAATATTTTGTCAGCCTGTTACTGAAAAATTTCCCGAGAGATGAGGTAAATATATTCATTGGGCAGAAATATTTTACAGTTAGACGATTGAAGAGTTAAATTACTTGCCCGTGAATTCTCCTATGCACCCGACAAATCACGTAGCTAGGAGTCAATGATAGTTACGCTTCAGTCAATTGTGATTAATCATTATTTTTCCATTATTCATTACGTTGATATTATCAATCAAGTAGGATGATATTAATTTCGAGGATATCCTGTTCTGGCACGGGCTGCGGAAGATAATGTCATGCAATTTGTAAATACAAATAGGTGTAAGAGTCTCGTTGAATTGAAAGTAAGAAATAAATTCGGGGTGAAGTGGAAGAGATAAATTATTGAAATCAAAATGTTGTGAATTGTGAGTGAATGATTATTGTTAATGAGTAATAATGAGAAATGCTGCCAATTAGCACACAGTTGCATTCTTCATTGGGAAAATTTTTATTTACCTCTTTCGATTGATATCACTACAAGATCGTGTGGCTGCTTTTATCACTGGAGTTATCATTCATCTCAATCGTTAAATTATCCACTGACGATTTAATTGCATTTTCGATCAATTAATTCATCCATTTGAGAGTTATGATTGTTAAATAATTTATAATTACATACCTACCACATGTTAAATTGTCGTTGCATCTCTTATTTTTATTTTCTCGTGACTATTAATTGTAATTGATGATTGTGGTTCAAGTCACTCGCACTGCAGCCATGTTATCTCACTACTTTGAACTATATTATTAAGCCTCTCTCTATCTCCTAGGTGAGCAATTTACCCCAGATCAGCCTTTCCAAGAAATTCTTGAGAATTTTTACAATCGGGGTAGATTACTCCCCCTCCTCCATCTATGCTCTATTCTGCCCAATCACAATACGTTTCTATCGTAATTTAAGACTAAGTGCTTCTTCATACCAGAGTCAATTGCATAGCTTTAATAACAACATCAAAAAAATTAAAAAATATTGAGAAAAAAAAACAACATCAAGACACGATAATGTTACACACTCGATAGTAATCGCATAAAATTAATAAAATTGTTGATAAGATCCTTTCGAAAATAATGAGAAAATAAATGTGAGAAAAACGTTTGATGGGGTAATTTTACATATTTTATTGTAATCGTGCGATAGATAATTGCGTGATAATTATTTCGTGCGACTCTTGATCTACCAAATGGAGTAATTATCGTGTAATCATCGAGAAAGAAAAAAGAATAAAACGTACAATCAATTACTGAATTTTATAACTTTGAAATAAATTTTTTGTATTTCGAATAATAGTTGTAATTTTATGATAAAAATGTTAAATTATGTCCATTGAACAACATTATCGCTGTTAGATCAGATGGAATACCTAAGAAAACAGGAGAAAAATGATAATCTGCCTAATTTGCAAAAATATTATTTTGCTTAGCGAATATTCACAGGCTTCCACTTTTTCACACACTTACACATGAGCTTTTTCATGTTTTCTATACTTAAATAAAAACAATCTACGACTTTTGAAGGAATTAATCCTATACTATAATATCAACTGAGCAACAAATAGAGCTTGACTAGGCTTCTGTAGTAACTGTTGAATACTTGATCTTGAATTTAAATAAAAAGACTTTATCGAGTGAAACGATTGAAATGAAACGAACAGGAATATTATAAGCGACAAAACAATGTGAAAAATTAATATCCAGTAAATGACAAATCCATATTGTTATAACTAAGCACTAAGGCTGGTGAAGAGACGGTTTAAATACGTTTAACAATCATAATTAAAGATGAATGTATTCTCAATTAATTATATATATATATATTATACATATACCTTAGATGATGCCAGGTAGATGAACTTTTGCAGAAAAATTCAATTAGAATGTACAATATATCATCACATAGAGAGAAAGAAAATTATTATTCGATTTTTTTTTCATTATGACAATTAGTAAAACAATGAAATATTCTACAAGTGCTTTGCCTCATTGATTTAAATTAGTCCATTTGATTTCTCTCTGTGCAATCTAATGAGTAAAAACACTGAATCACTCATATTCTTCCGCTTCAGAAATTAATAAAACCGAAGTGTGCATGCATTTTGTTAAAAATGATTGATCTATGTGTGTATGGAGATGTGCTGATTGCATTAGGAGTAAGAAAATCTCTAGTGAATCCACTTCGTACCCCGCTAGAAGCCGCACGATATTTCTCAACAAAATGAGCCTCATCTTTGTCAATAATGAAACGATAACAATGTTAAATGTACGGGGAAAAATGAAAAATTGGGGATATGTTTAATTAAGAGAGTGAAACTGCATGTTTTATCAAGCGAATAAATTTCTCAACGGCCTCAGGATATTTACGTTGTATACAATGTCAAGAATAGTGCTTGAGAATCTAATGAAAAATAAAATCGAGGAGATAAGCATTGGGATAGATACATATTATTAGGAGAAATTACCTGTGTTATCAGTGAAACGGAATATGGAAATTAGATGTTTGATAGATTGAGTTTAGAAATTTGGTGGATGGAATAAGGGGTGAATAGAAAATGTTATCAACTCCTTATTTCAATTGCTACAGAATTATTAAATTCATGTATATGTAAACAGATGGTGCATCAAGGCAAGTCGACACGTGACAATAAAGTACAGAAGTACAGATGATAAATGCTAAGAAATTAACAAGAAACTCCACGAATTGCCTAATTTGATTTTCCGTAATTCTTCATAAAGTAATTCATTTTATGGAAACACTCAAGTCATTTTTATTTCATTATCATATTCATTGACAATCGCACAGCGAAAAATCAAAATCGATAGATAAATTGATATCTCCAGAGCCCGACGTAAGTGAAGCATTAAGAAAAAATGACATAAACAAAAAAAAACGTAATTTAAATTAATTAATTGTAATGATCGATGTACTTAGCCTAAGTTTTTCTGAATAAAAAAGGGGGTTATCCTTTGTTGTTGTTGAAAGGAAATTTTTGGCGATTGAATCATGCAATATAATTATTCTCTCAATTTGTGTAAGTTGAATGGTCGATTATATTTGGTAAAACATTTACAAGGTAATAAGATTGTTTCTTTTTTTTGTTTTTTTTTCTTTCGTTTTTTTTTCTTGTTCATTCAACGCGTGTTACATTTACAGGCAAGGCATCCTCAAAGACTGTACCAACTCTACAGTTAAATTTGTTTTTATGTTAATTCAATGTATTTTCACTTATAAGAAAATTATGTACCCATCGAAAATTGTTTCATTTCATTCATCATTATCATCGTTAATTCATTAATTTTTATTACTACATTATTCATATTATTACTATTATTATTTTTTTTTTCAGGAACAAATACATGTTTTTATCAATATACATCAATTCGCGATTAATATGAGCTGTGGATTTATTTTTTCTTCATTTTCATTTTTATCTCCTTTAGGTTTAACCCGTATGGATTAAGGAACGGACACTTTCATGTTTCTCTTTATCGTTCATCTCATATTGAGATGATTTTTACTCCTTTTTAGATTCCCCAGAATTATTTATCATCCTCTCGTCTTTATAATTTTATTTTACAATTATGCTTTAATTCATCTGTTTTCTGTCATTTCCTTGTTTATTCTAAATTTCTAAGTGTCTCGTTTCTCCACTCTAGAGCGCGACTTATTATTACAATTTCATCTGTTCATTAGATTTATTTCACTGAATGAGTAATTGAGAAATTAAATTCACTGAATTCTTCAAGAATTGACGTATAAAGGAAAAACTTAGTCATGGCACAATCGAACGAGAGTTTTTCTTTTTTTTTTCTTTAAATGAGAATGAAGGTAAGCAGTAATAAATAAATTCTATCGTACACTCCTTCACCCCTTAATAAAAAAAAAAAAAAAAAAAAAAAAAAAAANTTTATCTCCTTTAGGTTTAACCCGTATGGATTAAGGAACGGACACTTTCATGTTTCTCTTTATCGTTCATCTCATATTGAGATGATTTTTACTCCTTTTTAGATTCCCCAGAATTATTTATCATCCTCTCGTCTTTATAATTTTATTTTACAATTATGCTTTAATTCATCTGTTTTCTGTCATTTCCTTGTTTATTCTAAATTTCTAAGTGTCTCGTTTCTCCACTCTAGAGCGCGACTTATTATTACAATTTCATCTGTTCATTAGATTTATTTCACTGAATGAGTAATTGAGAAATTAAATTCACTGAATTCTTCAAGAATTGACGTATAAAGGAAAAACTTAGTCATGGCACAATCGAACGAGAGTTTTTCTTTTTTTTTTCTTTAAATGAGAATGAAGGTAAGCAGTAATAAATAAATTCTATCGTACACTCCTTCACCCCTTAAAAAAAAAAAAAAAAAAAAAAAGTAAAACCAAATGAAACATTGATAAGTAAAGAGAAAGAAACAAAAAACAATAATCTTACTCAATGTGCAATTTATTACAGTTTATAAAAATTTCGGCGATAAGTCTCGATGAAAAAATTTGTTGCTTTTTTTCTATTTTACTTTAAATCTTTTTTCCTTCTATTATTTTATCACAGAGAAATTCTCCAAACATCGACACTCAAGTCGCTTGAGAATCTCGTCCCTGGTTTCTTTTAGCGACTAAGATACAAATTAAACAAAATTATTAGAGTCCGAGAGTTTAATCATCTGAAATGCGATTATTTACAGGTATAAAAAGGATTTATAAACATAAACAGTGATAATAAACGAGACAATTGATTCAGATAATCTCTTATGAATGAAGCACTTATGTCATCGGTTATTACTGATTACGGAAATTTCTATTGTTTCATTCTTAATCTGTATTTAAACTAATTCGAACGCCGACATGACTCGATAGTAATGATTTTTCACTTTTCATTGGGAAATGGACTTTTAATAATCGTTAGAAATATCGGCGTGGGATCTACATGTATTGGAAAATTGGCTGACATATGTAGTTACATTGTGCATGTATTGAATATCCTGTATTTTCATTATTTTTTGTTTCCCTAGGGAAGTTATGACTGGTGAAGATTCAAAATGAGAAATTTCCTGGGAATGAAATCAAGTGTCAAACAATGCAGTACATGAGTTCCATTAAATTCGAGTAAAGTTGAAGTTTAGTTGCTTCAGACTTTACTATCCAACGAACGTTGTTTTGCGAGGCACGACAATGTTTAAAAATTATGAAGCATTATTACAGACTACAAGGTTCTTTTTTAATTCATAAGGGATCGGTTTTCATCCGCAATTTTTATTCAATAGAAAATGTTTTTCGGGGCGTATAGGAGATAAAATTCAACTCAAAGTAAATTTTTCACCAATTATTGTTTCGTTTTATGAATGAACAAATATTTTAGACTAGTTACATATCTAATTTCACATTATGTATCGAATATCATCAATATAATCTCCAACAATTTCCAATAATTTCACCTCCTATACATTTGTCACAATGAAATCAAGAAGTAATTACGTTATTGTTATTTATTTAATTTTTTTTTTCAATTACTTTCGAGAACAAAAACAGTCTGATGTAAGTTTGAATTCTCAATTTGCTCAATTTATTCAACTTAACTATTCTATTATCATGACGTCAGGTGGAATGTTATCTCACTGTTGAAATTCGATAATAGTTTCATTAATATTTAATATACACTGTAATATATTTCTCTTCTTTTTAAATATCATTCACTTCGCCTCGTGGTTTTGGTACCTCATTAAGGAGCGAATGTTTTTCAATTAAAACGTTATGCCACTATATTTAATATTATATATGCACTCCATCCGACACATAAACTATGTACAAAACAACAATCGAATAAAAGCTAACGATTATTTGGACGAAACCAATTCCAATTGTTTAATTATATCTCCATTTGTCTCCTTTGTTTGACTTTTGAAGTACCTTTTGTTCGCACAATTAAACTCTCAATAAAAATGACTTTAAAAAAATTAATAATAAAATGTATTTAAAAGAAAAAAAGAAAACTAGTTTTATTATTTATGACTTAATTGTTTATTACTACGTTCTTTAATCATGTATTTAGCATTTATGAATTGTTTCTGTTCTTTGGTAGCACGGTGATGTATTTATGGTGACCACAGTTTCATGTATTGTCCGATCGTGACGAGATGGTCCCAATCGCCCAAATAATTTTATCAATTTTTTTTTTCACCTTCAGTTTGGTTTATTAATTTTGTCATTCTCTTGTCCCCGGTCATTGTAATCTCGATGAACAATCACAAACGTCACAATCGTCTACACATTTTTATTTTTGTAATAATATAATTATAAATTTGTTGTAGTAATACACAAATTATTCATAATGACACTATCGACTTTTACTCTTATAATATCAGCTCAGGTGTTCTATTTAATTTGCTCTTCAGCCATCAGTCAATGATGACAATTTGTTCCATCTGATCATGTTGATTCACTGAGACAAGTATTTTATCATCAATAGATGCGAAATTATTAATTGAAAGATCATTTTTGTCGCGTTCAGCTTCACTTTGGGGATTTTTTCGTTCGTATTCTAAATCGACGCACAATCAGACCAAGCCCAACTACTTGTGATCACTCTAATCCTTCTGCACACTCATTATTACACATATATCCTTCTGTCCCTTACGATTAATTAAGTAAATATTCGTAATTCCTCTGTATATACACCCTGTTTATTTTTTTTTTCATAGTTTTTTTTTTCAATAAAAAATGAAATAATTCTCTGAAAAATGCTTGCAGTAAAATTTGTTAACGGTAAATTTCAATTCAGCAAACTGTTTCGTTGGTAGTGGATACCTGGGCTATGATGTGGCAATCGGTAAAGAAGGAAAATAACATTTCAACGGAAGAGAAGGGACCCAGGAACATCCTCGATCAAATAAAAAATAACAATTCTCGTCGTTTATTCACCTATGGAGAGTATTCAATAGTTAGTTCATTCAACTCATACGTAATTCTAGGGCTGCTGCAGAAGTAACTGTTCGAGTTCGTCAGCTGATCTGAGGAGGAATGCTGCCGACTCCCGATATCCAGTTATCAGTTGTCTGACTGCTGTCATTTCCGTTGCATTCAGTTTGTGACTTAATAGGGGCTTTGTATTTTTCATACTGAGATCTGTTGGTCCTGAAGTAAATAAAACCATTATTTATTTCAATTAATTGCCAGATAATTATATATTATTATGTGCAGAGAGATATTGGATAAATTTTCATGAAAAAAAAAAAAAATAAATAAATAAATAAATAAAAAATAACCAAAAAAACACCAATAGTAATATTACTTTGTGTACCGTTGCTCAATAATCCCGACGTAAAACTCTGGGTTGGATACAATCCAGCTGAGAGTGTAGGTGGTACGGATGTAGGTCCAGCACGTTGAAATGCCTGACTGAAGTTGGGCCTGTACATGGCTGTTGGTGCACCACCGCTCGCAACACCATTCACTGACGACGAGCTCACTATCGTCGCTTGACTGTAAAATTCCAATTGGCAAAACCATTTTGTTTGAGTGGTCTGTACGACTTCCATTAGAAGCGCGTGCTGATGCTAATCATAAAATCGTGTCAATCTTCACATTTACCATTTCATAATTATGCCAGAGTTTGCACCAAGAAATTGTGATACATCCCCCTTTCCCGCGCCCTTTAAGACGATTCTAATTTATTCATATGATTGTATCTAGTTCCCCAATTCTGGCAATATAAATTCATCGCAATTAGAGTCATCATGTAGAGGAATTTAAAATCGGTTATTAAACTCAGTGATCAAATCCCTTGCTCTCATTATTCCCCTGTCGATATCATAAACACAGTGGCTAGTTAAGTGAAATAGAATTAAGAGTAATTGTGTTACAAGTATCTTACGTAAATTCAAGCGAAACCTTGCCCACAAACCAAACAATTACACATAAGTTAAAGCTGCACGCTTGGAGAAGGAGAAGGATGGGGTAATATTGCCTGTGTAACAGTAGTTGGCTCCTCGATGGAACTCACCTCATGAGACCCTTGTTATTATCGGTGGGCGTCAGTAGTTTGGATGCAGGCGCTAGGGAAAGAGGTGTCGATGCTAGTGTACTACTTGGTAAACTGGCCAAACTAGTCAGTGGTGCAAGGGATGTTAACGATGTTGGTGGTGTATCCTCTCTTTTTCCAGGTAGTGACTTTACTGGGGTACTCGAGAAGTGATCGAGGCTCGCTCGCACGTCCGTTTGCTGTGAAAATACAAAATCATCAATTTAAATAATTAATACGATTAAACATTTATTGAAGTGATTGTCTAAAAATATTTTTTTCCCCCTGACAAATGTACTGATACGGATATCGATCTGTGTCAATTATTGCATCTATCACATTCACAGCGATTTCATTATCGTGTTATACATTTTTCTATCGCTCGCTTTTTTTTCCCCACTGCGCTCCAGTTTGATTCGATTACTTGTGTGTTGATGCGCTCATTCGGCTCCATAAATTGAGTATCAATTCATCATGGCCATGATAAATATTTTTATTTCACGAATCAACTTTGATACATTTTCGCACACTTTTGCCGGGTTCAATTGGGCGGGGAGTGATTGAATTTATTTATGATTTTTTTTTACCCGATTCTAGGGATGATCTTTACCTCGGGCTCATCAGTGTAATCATAAGCCTGTTGTTGTTTATGGACAACCCGGAGGTTCTTTTTCCTCATGATGAAACTGCCACACAGACAGTTGATTGTAAAGAGCCTGATGATTAAGCACGGTATACCGTTGGCCTATCGATCATTGACAGGTAGGCTGCACCTCATCAACCGGTTGATAGACACATGCACAAAAAATGCGCGTACCGATCTTTGCTCGGTAGATACAAGACACTCGTCACACGCTCACTCTAGAGTCCCATCTCGTTACCGTATATTTTTCATCATTCGAAAAAAAAAGAGAGAAAGAAAAAAAAACAAAGAGTGGAGAAAAAAATGATGTGAAGCTGTACTCCGAGAAAACTCCAATATTCTCGTTTTTATCAGTACGTCGCACAAGCATCATTCCTCGTTCGTGGGCAAAAACAACAACAACAACAACAACAACAACAAGAGGGTAAGGACACTAGACAGCAGTCACCTCTCTTCAATCCAACATTTCGTGTGAATTTTCTCTCGAGTCCGGCTACTGTTTGCCCTATCACTTGCACGCGGACTAGTTCGGTACTGAGGAGTTGAGACTACTCTAACTACTACTCGGTCCAAGTGAGTCTCTGGGGGCTTGATTACAAACTATCCAAGTTGATGACGAGAACAGTGTGATGAGGAAAGAAGGGATGAGAGATTTCTGTAGGTGGCGTTGGGTGGTAAAAAAATGTAGATTTAATGAGAATTACAGGTTTTTCAATTTGCTTGGTTGACAGATGGGGTTTATCTGGGGGGATTACTGCTGAGAGGAATTTACACTTTGATTTTAAATTCATTAATTTTGTGTCAACATATCAGTAGATACAGAAATTTACGATTTTACTAATTAATTGAATTCTTCTCGTTCATTTAAAAGTCTTCCCATTTTGCAATTGTTTTTTCCATAATTTTAACTGCCATCGAGTGCAGACAGCCCCAGCCAGATGTGGGTGAGTAAGTTAACGGAGAATTTCGCTAAAAAAGCCGATAGGGGCAAAAAATCCAGACAAAAAAAGGAGCTCTCAGATGGAGCGTCGAAGAGAGGAGCCACACGGTCAACCGAGTCACGATGGATTCACGGGACTTTGGTAGGGGGAAAAACCGTAGGGAGAGGTATGAGAAGAAATCTGAAGAGGGAGGGGGTCAGATAGAGTGGGCCGGGAGGGAGGATGAAATCTTGGGACGACGCCGGATGTAGGGAGGTGTTTTTATGAAAGCCGAGTAGTGTGCGTTGACGTCAATTATATAGGTGCAGGAGAGAGACGAGTGGTAGATATACAGAAATGAAGACAGTTGGGGTCTACTATTCAAGTGGTTCACCGGTTGGGGTTATCGTACAAAAACTCGTGGGATTTTTAACGATAAAACCAACTATTGCGTTGTCAAGTACTACAGATGCCTCAGTTTCCATTTTATTATTTGTATGGATTTCATCTAAAATTACAACAGTACACATCCAGATATTTATTTTTACCAAATTACCATATTAATTATCATTTTTTCAATAACTCTTTGGGTCGATGAACGGAATAAATATTTCCCCCATGTTTCCGAAATGTAAAAGTCATCTTATTTTCAAATGAAGGCTAATAATTTTCCTCTCAAATATCATATTATTTGTTTAGAGCGAAGATTGAAAAGTTTTTCCTCCAATCTCCACGTACACTTTATGAGCACACGAGAGGGGGCCAGAGTGCACGGACGATTTATAAACCGAGAAAAATATCCCTGTGTGTGTGTGTGTGTTGAACAAGTGGGAGAGGTGAGCCACGACCCCAAAGGGGTTATCAGTTTATAATGTGCCTCTTACTCGGTATTACCTACAGACTCTAGCTCATTCGCACGTATCATACGTTTCTTGTTATTTATTGGATTTCCATGTTTCGGTTGTTACGAATGAATAATACGCTAAAATTTTGTAACATTTATAACGCATATATATAAGAGGATATTCCTTCTTTTGTCTGAAAAAATGTGCAAGAGTCAACAAAGACTGGATTTTTTCACAGTACAAAATTAGAAACAAAATGCTCTCATTTCTCCTCTTGTTGTTGTTATTTTCTTTTTTCGGGTGAATTATTGAGCCTCGAGAGAGGAGAGGGAGTAGAACGAGGGGAATAAGTTTTAACACTCACCGTTGCCGCTGGCAGTGTGGGCATAGGCTGTGAGACCGGTTCTAGACCGAGTCTCATGCGTTTTGCGTTGTCGCTCTCGTTTTCACAAGCCGTTGCCAAAATCTGCTCCGCCTGTACCGAGGTCAAGTGAGCCGGCGTCGGTCTCGCCTGAAATAAAATAAAAAGACAGAGTAAAGTATAACGAACGAGAGACAAAGCGAGAAAAAAATGAAACAAAGAGGAGAAAGAAAAACTTTTGCCTCAAAAATGCTCGGCTATTTGCTACCCAGCGAGTGCAAAAAATATTAAAAAGGGGGAAAAAAAGAGACAAAACCTTTTATGAGGGGAAAGAATGGCCTTAATCATTGCATCAATTAAAGAAGCATTAGTAATTGAAAAAAAAAATGATAATAATGGAATTAAATTTTTCACTGTTTTTGTGTGATAATAATAATAATAATAATAATAATAATAATAATAATAATAATAATGTGGAATGATAAATTAGCATTTGATTCAACGATTTGTAAGAGTAAAGAAAAATCAACTCGACAAGTTGTATAACCAGCTCGACGATGTAAAATAATATAGGTGTTGGAAAAACTTACTGCATCCCAAGGTGCTCCTTCTCTTCCTCGTTTATTCCTCCGACAGCTCTTCAGGTACGTTCTTATTCTCTTCCTAGCTCGTTCAGCAAATTCAGGAAATTGTCTCGTACAACTGTCAATTATAGCCTGTATTTTTTCCTTCGGCTGTTTCGATATTGGCACAATACGATCCAAGTTCTCATCAACGAAGAGTCTAACGAACATCTGCGGGGTTTTGACAAAGTGGTGGCTGTCAGAAGCTGTACATCAGGCGAAATGAGAGAAATACAAAATGCCAAGGAAAAAGAAGAACCTAAAACCACTGGAATGGTGGTGGGGATTTTTGTAAGTATATAAAGAGTGTATATGTGTAGAGAGGTTTTATTTGTACTTGGGTTGGGGAGGAATTAAGAATTTAACTCGAGAGATGGGATAAGAGAAAAGGGGGAACACCGGCGTGGCTCGATTAAACTAATTGTAATTAATTAAGGAGCCAACGCCGCACCGGGACGTTGTACACAGAGCCAAGAGTATCCTATCCTTGTGGAGAAAGGATAGAGAGAACAAAGCGGCCCACCGGAGGGAGAATAATTTAAAACATTTTCTTTAAGGATGTACAAGTGGAGAACAGCTGTTTTTCACTCATTGATATTTTTTGACTCACGTTAAATGCCTTGAGACGTTCAGGGTCATGATGTCTCGGGTCCAGCCTCTCGTCAGAGTCCTCATCGTCGTCATCTTCATCCTCTTTATTTCCACTGCTGCTTGTCTCGTCCTGTGCACTGCCAGTTCCCTCACCACCAGTGGGACTCGACTCTCTGTCTCTGTCTGAGCGTGATGGTGTCATTGATGATGGAGGTGGAGGTGTCTTTTTAAGACCCATTGTGTATGATGCCCATAATGACGCCATGTCTTCACTTCCCATACCAGCTACTGATCCCAAACTTGGTACTCCGGCTGAGGATAGCTCGCCGAGTTCTGCACTACCATTCCTCGAATCTAAAACACCAAAGGTGCTTCATTGAATTTGTGCCTCCGAAAACGCCTATTCAACGTATTTAACAAAATGTGAAAGACATTTTTTCATTTCTCTCCATAAATACAACAAAGACCACTGGCATTTACGGTACTTATGAATATAACAAAGATGAATGGTAAAGTGAGGTGGGGGGTGTGGTTGCGTGACTGTCTGCCACGATTCTGATTGAAGATGATCGAGCCAACAACTGCCAGTTGAGGATATTATTTTGCAAAGCCCATTAACAGCCGTACAAACTTGACTGCATCACTCACAAACCGTAGAATTAACGGCGACACTGTTTTTCAAATTCAAGGGAAATAAAAAATTGGAGGAAACAATTGCCAAGACAGGGGATAAGGCAGCATTAACATTGAAAGGGTCACGAGAATAATTATCCTCTAATGAAGCGTCAATAGCATTACTAATCCAGCCGTAATCACTCTACTCGAACAACCAGTGTTGTTTCCCTTTTTCCAATGTTTGCGACGTTCACTGAGGAGAACGGACGAGCGAGCGAGAGAGGTCCGGCATAACCCCGATGCCAGGCAATCAAATACCAAACGCTTGGTGAGTGTCATTGAAGGTAACTCGCCGTGGGAAAATACCTAATGTCGCCCATATTTGCTCAACTAGGGCGAATTTATCATGCTCGAGGTGATCCAGGGTGTTTCTGATAAAAATGCATCTATCCATTGGACGAGAATCTTGAAAGATCAATTCTCTTGACTGTGAAATTTTTCATAATTGTTTTTCCCCTGATTGAACCTTAGCAACAAAAACTCATTAAAACCCGTGACTCAATTCCCTCCTAAATGTTAGTGCAGCTCGAATCGATTGCCCCTAGGGTTGAGACGTGTCTCCCTGGAAAAGTGCTATGCAGTTATATACTTGTTTGCCACACCGGTCCTGGCTATATACCTCTCGAAGGTACATCCGAGGGGTTCTTCATACCTTTTTCCTTTCATTTTTTTACAAGAAAAGACAAGAAAGAAGAATTACGACCACCTTACTAGCCAGTCGGGCCATCGTAATCACCTCACTTGGAGACGATGGTGTACCGAGATCTGTGCAAGCCGAAAGCTGGTTCGTTACGCAACTGGCTGCCGTCCATGTGTACGTGTGTGGATGTGCGAATAAACGCGAAGGTGAAGAGGGTACCCAGTTGTGGAACCAGTTTTACGATGACCGGTACCCAGTCGAGAAAGAGAATAAAGAAAAAGGACAGAGGAGGGAAGATAGGATAAAAGTACCTGCATATCTCTACGTGTGTGTGTGTGTGTGTGTGTACGTGTATATGTAGGGGGCTGAGATGACCAAGGAAAAAGAAAAACGAGTGAATTATCCTTCCGCAACGTCGTTCAAGTTAACGGGCGTGCAGTTACCACGCTGGTGGGATATAAACGCAGGAGGATGCAGTATAACGAATATCGGGTTACACCACCCTCGTTTTTTATTTTAACTTTAGTTTCCCTCCTGTTTTGTGGTGGGTACACGCAGGCCAACTCGCTACCTCCTTATCGCTCGAATGTCACGGAGCCATGATAACTGAGAGATTACCGGTAGATACTCAACTCCACTGAGAGCCAACCGTGCGACTCTATCTTGACCGAGGTGACTCATGCGTATGGGAGTTTTTTGTCGTGGCTCTTGCGAATGATGAATTGCTGTGGTGGCAATGTGCAGGCTGGATTTTTGGCATTTTTTCGGGGTACTGTGTGAGGGGAATAACTTCCGGGAGCGGCTTTCACAAGAGAATCAAGTTATCCCAACCGAATAAGAAGAGAGCATTTTTATTGCTCAGATAATTTATTCGTTTTCATTAATTTTATCCTCTTCTGGAATGTTTGCGCAATGTAAAAACACAAGGATCTACCTAAATGGGCCCTTACGAGGCGCCGCGGATTAGCACTGAGATTTATTATCGGAAACAATGGGAGCTAAACTGATAGAATTATTAGGAAGTAGTAAAACAATAGTGTTACCTGTGAGTGTGGAGTTGTTAATGGTGTTGTTTGCCGTGGATATAGCCGATTGACTGGTGACAGGTGTGCCAATGGTGGTGGCTGTGGTTGTTGATGAGTTATTCGGTGATAATGCCGCTGTAGCAGCCTGTGCCTGTGCCTGCTGCTGAAGATTATAATTCCAAGCTAGCAGCATCAGCTTCAGTTTATCAGCGTCTTTCATTAGCGCGCCTGCCGGAATTTTTTTTTTTTTTTGTAAATTTCTTTGACAATTGAGGAGCATTATTTTCTGTACATCAACGTCTCTTCAGATTGAAACAACTCATCGTGGGCCCATTGGAAATTAATCTCTGTAGCAAAGTGCCAACGAAATCGAATAATGGAATTGAAGAGTGGAAAAAACGACCCGGAGACCACCACCGAGGCGAGTGCGCGTTATACAGATAATTACTGTGTATCATTTCTACTGAAAATGATTGCTCCAATTCAAGGCGAATTAAATATAAAATCACTACGAACGCGACAGGGAGTAAAAAAAAAAACATGTACCTGTGCACGGTGAAGGACAACCTCTGTATGAGTAACAATTTATTAGAGTCTGTCATTAAATAATTTGAGAAATGGAGACAATTCTCTCATTTTTTTTAAGAGATTTTTTTCAGGTGAATTTAACAGTTGAAACTAGAGAGAATGGAAGTCAGTGACGGTAGGTGTGTGATTCCATCGATCGGTGTGAAAGGGTGAGAGCCATGCAATTGGGTTCTGGGTTGTCTGAGGGAAAAGGGTGGATGGAGGGATAGTGCAGGAGGGGGAGAAGCAGAGAGACGTGAATCTTCTTAATGATTCAAGCACGCCCGATAGCACTGGTGACGAGACGCCTCCTGTTCCTGTCAGAATTTGGGTCACCTACCGAAAACGCTGGTGGCACGACCTGGCCCGATGCCGTCACACCAGGTAGAACAAGGGGATGGAAAGGGAAGTGGCAAGTGGGAGGTGGGTGGGTGGTTGGTGTTGGGTTTTGAGATGGGAACAAGGGAAACTAATTCTTGCCCGTCCATCCGTGTCTGTCCTCTCAGTTAACACCTACATACCTTATATGTATGTATGTATTTTCATCCACGTTTGTTTGATTATTATTTCACAACGGAGCCATTTCGGTGGGGAATACTTTATAACGTCACTCAATTCAGTCGGTGGTCTTGATCATTATTGATGCAGTGGATATTTAAAGGATTTTCAAGGATTCAAAAGTATACTTTTCATTCGAGACAGGTTCAATTGTTTCAAGAGTGCTGAATATTCATCAGTGAAAGATGAAATTTAGGGAATTTTTAAAAGCTCCAAGTGTCTGCTCAGGACTTGAAAATATTTTACCACTCCTAAATTTGCGTTAATTCGCCTCGTGATCTGTTACACATTCATTAAAAGGTAGTTTTCGAGCTTATTAAAAATGTTATGCTCACTTGAGTAGTGCTCGTCTTCGGTGATATCTGCGGGCTCTGGGGTTGAAATATTTTCCTGCAACAAAATCAATAATCTTCCATTATTATTTTTTTTCGTTTTGTATTAGCAACAATTCTCAGGAGATACAAGAGTATTACTGGCTCACTTGTTTTTCTCTCACGATATACTCGAAAATAAAATGGTGAAAACATTTCACTCGAGTATTATTCATATACATAAGGCGTCTCAATCGTGACGTGGGCCATTCGCATGCAAATGCTGTCGCGAGGGGGTGTATTTGCCAGTGCCACTCGGGCTAGGCAGGCGATGTCACGAAAAATAAAATTCAAGCGTAAATCCTAGATACAGTGGGGCCTTGCTGCACGTGCGGATGTTCATTTTTATCATGTGTAATAAATCCACTGATTGAATTGAGTTACTTGAGTTAAAGACTTGTCATTGCCGCAAAGAATGGTATTTTGTAATTTCAGGGGAACACAAGAATATGTTTATACGGTAATAATGTACTATCTGTGCCAGGTCTTGGCAGTTGCAACATCAGAAGGTCGACCGGTATTCCACGCTCTCCGTGAAACACGCCGGGATAATGTGTGTGCCTTGGGTGTCTGACGATGCTACTGAATGAAGATTGGGTGGAGATTGATGTGATAATGATTTACTGAAAATTTGGCAATTTTATTATTGGTGGTGGGAGCCTGGACTTTCAACATCAAAGGTTTGAATTCAAATTGTGATTATTGGAAATTTTGCATTTTTCAGGTCCAATAGATCGCAATGAATTCATATGAAAATGTTAAATGTTCCGAGGAGGTGAAATTCATTTATACCTGACACTGAAGTCATAGAAATGAACGCATGCAATTTTTTCTTTTCTCATGTGACAAGTCAAAATTATGCGAATAGACGTGGCACCTTTATGAAACCTTGAGTGGCCTGCATAAACCATGCCTCACTGTTCGACTATACAGTATGAGCGCGTATACGCGCAAGCAAAAGGTGGCTCTAACCATCTCGAGGCCGTGCAGTGCCTCCGTGAATCTCTGTTTGATAATCCTCGGAATTTATTGGCTGAAATTTCTACCCCTCACGTGAGCCACGTTGACTCGGGATATATCAGTCGTTTATATATTCATCTGACGCTTCAATCTTCATCTTTTGTTCGCTATTTCAAGAATCTTTCCATTAAGTATTCAATATAACCTGATTTTACCGTCAGCCGTAGCCTCGCAAGATTTAGAATTTACAGATTCATATTTGTGGGCGTAGGACTTAGCCTTTTCAACTTGGAAAATCGAGGGAAAGGTTGAGAGAAATGGTTGGAGCTAGCAATGAAATGATAATTCTGCTACTTTCGTTTTACCAAGTTGTCTCTCACCTACGCAGGAGCCGCCCGCTCCACGTCCGCCGGATGTGCCCTGATAAATGCTGAATTTCGAGCGTGTATGGCACCCCACACGGCCAGCTGAACACACCTAATGATTTTTTTATCTGCTTCCAAATGCAACGTTTAAAATAACATTGAGGCGAAAAATGATTTTTATCTCTTGGTTTTTTTTAACGAAGCTTTCTCACTAAAATTTGCAACGACTCTGTCACCTCTATCTTCACACGCCCTCATAATCAAATCAGGCCGTGAGAAAAAAAGGATTGAGGGCTATAAAGACAGGGGAAGGGGAAGGGGATGAGAGAGACCCTAGCGATATAATTCGCAAACCTGTTCAACTGGGAGTCATTTGTCCACCCCAGGATGTATCCCATGGTGATCAGCACGTTTTCACTTGAATATATGGAGTTGCGCCGGCCCGGGGAGTTGGGGAAAAAAAAAAAAAAAAGAAGAAACAAGCCAACATGGAAGCATATTTGTTTAGTTGACTGCAATTAAGCCACTTGGCGGCAATTGTTTGGCCGACAACTATCGCGTACCCAGAGAATTCCGCTCCCACCAAACAGTTGGTTGAAGCTGTAACACGACGTTTTATTATATATAAAATGAGCGGTGTAGTTGGGTGTACACATGAGCGCAGCATGTTAACCGTCACACCAATCCCAGACGATAAAACGTGAACGAGTTGAGAACTGGGGTCATGGGTTCAAAACGGGTCCAGGAGGACGGTCCGGCTCACGGTGTGGACACCAACCGCCAATGAGCACAAGAGATGTGCCTCGGTGATTGCATGAGTGTCTTCAGGGTTACCAACGACCTGTTTCTTTTTTTTTTCTTTACCTCCTTCTCTTCTCCACTCGAGAGATGTTAATTATGTAAGAAATTTCCGACGTGAATTTAATTGACGTGGACAAATTTATTTGATTGTTTTCTTTATCGTGAGTTGAGAGAAAAAAAAAATTATTAACAAGTTTTTAGTAATTTGCAGATAGGTGCTCGATTCTAAGGGTGAAATGTAACCAAAATATTCATGGATATAGAATTTCTTTTTTTTTTACAAGAGAAGATGAAATTGAGCGTATAATAGCATTCAATGTTGGTCACGCAAGAGAGATGCTCTTGGTTGCTCGCAACCGGGGGATATAGGAGCGGTTTGTCGACCTCGGAATTTAGCGACGAGTGTGCCAGAGAATACAGCGATGAGAAACGGTAGGAGGAATAGAGGGCGCACGAGTGACGAGGGAAAGGGAGATCGAATTTGTTAGGCAAACGAGCCCAAATTGGGCGACTCAACGTATTCGTACCAGCAGGATGCTATGTAACCAGTAATGTCAACCAGAGCGATGTGGCTTTGTTGATAATCCCATTTGTTTAATTGATCAGTTGTCATCTTAATTTGGATATTTACCCGATGATTAACTGGATGTGTCCCTTGTAAGGGAATAAATTATCCCGCCAAATCAATTTCTCTCTCAAGAGTCAAGTAATGGAACATGATCCCTCAATTTATTATTGAGAAAAATAAGAAATTATAAAATCATAAATAGTACCCGCCGAAAAGTGACGTTATCGTTGGCTTATGCGACACTGTGGCTCCAGACAGGTTGCGTCAGGGGATTCACAAAGAGGAGAAATAAAAAATAAAAATAAAAAACGAGAAAGACAGAGTGACAGGGCACGAGAAAAATATCTAGGAACCGATTTGCAGTGCGAATGCGACGTGGCCAGGAGGGTGTGTAGGAGTGGAATTGGTAGTTTAGGGGGACCGGGGAGAGAGAAGCAGGAGAATGATGATGGGGTCACCGTCAGAGGGATAACCTCACACGTGTGCAGGCAACCAGAAAGATAGAGAAAAAATGTTGGAGAAAAAAAATAACAAATGGCAGAATGCGTCAAGAGAGAAAAAATATTGGGAGTAAATTTTTTTCACTGGGACAAAGTGGTTTTTTCTCTTAATATTCTAATCTGACATCTCCTTGGTGTTCGCCACACGCGTTGGCTTCCAATCGGTTGGGAGAAAGAGGCTGGGGGGGAGAGTGCTTGAAAATTGAATTCCTCCCTTCTACTCTCGTCTTGCGGCGAAAACGAGCGGTGCCAGTTAAGTCTAACCAGCCGGTAATTTATGGGGCCATTGTACAGAGGTGCGCTAATGTGCATTATTTGTGTGAAATTATAAAAATAGTTTTAACATTTTTTTATTGGCTCCAATTTTTTAGGATTTCTTGAGGGGGGGAGGCAAAGAGGCAATAGAGAGTTGAATATTTACTATACAGCTGGAATTACGGTGTCTGCCGTGCCTTGCTGATACACAAGCCTACCTTACTTGACCCCAGCGTAATGAGGGACAATTGGAAGTAACAGTCACCCATTCGTCTGGCTCAATCGACATTGTCTCCTCTTACTGACTGCCACCACCAATGGCCTGCCTATCGTTATTATCAATAAGGGAATTTCGGTGAATAACAAGGCAATTACATTAAAAATTGAACTCGTCGATTTATCCAATGGGTTTTCATTCAAGTAAATATGGGTAAATTTTCCCATAATAATAAATCACCGAACGTGTGAATCGACACTGCCTTCATTCAATGAGAAAAATGCACTATAAAATTATGAATTTCATCAAAATAAGAATCCTGCTTATACTTTTATATTTCCTTTTAAGCCATATTACGACTGTGCAAAGATATCCGAGCAGTCTCGTCTGTCCAGGGAGCACATATTATACTTGGCGATGACGCGTTTCTCACAGCCAGGCAATGGGCACCACCCGTGTCTCTCATTTCGATGGCAATATATACATGCGTATGTAGAGATAGTGCCTCAGCCAGACTGGAAAAAAAGGCGAATAAAGAGGGGCAGAGGAGAATCAGTGGAGGAGTGAGAGGGAGAATAAAAGAAGAGCAAACATGGCCGTGGAAGGTTTTTTCGATAATTTCATTTTCGATCAAAAGAATTTTCAAATATCCACTTGCTTCATCCTTTTTTCCGTTGATGTATTGATACTTGCTGTTCTCTCACTTCACTGGAGATGCGGAGGACGAACTAATTATCAATTATTCAATTAACAATGGTAGACAGCCAAGTTCAAGTACTTATTATTCTCTATTCTTATTTATGAATAAAGAATAGATATTTAATCTTGACACTGAGATAACTAATCACGTTTTCCCGTTTGACTCCAACAGAAACTAATAAATCGCTCGATTTCACGGTGGAATGAGTATTCCACGCTAACCCCACGTAAACACGAATTACATAACTCCTCTTAAACTGACTATGGCATAATATCCTAAACGTGTTGGGAATCAAAACACTAGTTTTGCCGAGTAGTTATGCATCAAATCTGTTGAGTTTCAGTTTCACACCTGGAGTTGTAGAATCTATCGTCTCAATTCCCGTCAACTCCTCAAGTCGCGGCTTCTAATAACCCAATTACCTAATAAATGAGACAATTTCCTGTGAATTTGTGGAGAGAAAAAAAAATGTCTCCAATTTTTTTATTTTTCAACACAACGTAAAACCGTTCAACTCGACAGAAAGAGTCGAAAATCCTTCTCGAATGAATGTAATCGAAAGTGGCGATTTTCAACAGTTTTGTCGAACGATGATGGTCGTTTGCGAAAGGACATAACGGTACCGCCGCACAAGTAGAGGAGAATCTCCAATG